GAAGATAAAAAAAACTATTTCTTTAATTTTGAAAAAATTACTATAAAAGGAAATTTTTAAGAAAAATGTTGTGTACGAGAAAGAGTTTTTTTTTTTTTTAAGCAACTATAATATTTTTTTTTATCAATTACAATAATTTATTATTATTATAAATTATTATTATTAAAGTTGTAGTTTATAAATAACAATATTATTGTTAAAGAAAAAAGACAATTAAAGTCTAATTGATATAAATAAAAGTAAAGTATTTTTATTATAAATATAAGTAAAATATTAAAAAGTTGTATTCTATAATTTGATAATCTAAATCAATACTTTTCTATTGTTATTAAAGTTATACTTAACTATTAAAAAAAAAATAATCTAAGTAGATACATTTGATTTGTGTTTTATAAAAAAAATTATTAAAAATAATATATTTTTAAAACTTTTATATACCTTATCACTTTAATATATTTTTTTTAAAACTTATTTAACTATATATGATTTTTAACAAATAATCAATATTGAATTTAAATTAATATATATAATAACTTTATATTTAAAAACTTTTTTTATTATTCAAAACACATATTTTTTTTAGATCTTGTAAAAAATTTTGTTTAAGTTTTTAATATAAGATAGTTTAATTAAATTTTTATAAATACAATTATTTATAACAGTTTAATAAAATTTTTTTTTTAATTTTTATATATTATTATTTAAAATTTTTAAAAACAAATATTTTTAATTAAAACTTATATTATTATATTTTAGATTTTAAAAATAATGAAATAAAATTTTATAAAACTTTAATAAATTTTTTAATTTAATTATAAAGTAAATATAAAGTTAAAAAAATTCAAACCATATTGTATAATACTGTATTTATAAAATATATTATTATTACTTGTAAAAAACTAAAAGTTTTTAAAATCATCAAATAATATTTAAATTAAAAAAAATTTTTTTTTGCTTAAAATGAATTTAGTTATTATAGTAAAACATGTTTTTTTTGTTTTCAAAATATTATAAATAATTTTTTTAATATTAAGATTTTAAGTACATCAGCAATCTTGTTATAAATTTATTGAAAAGATCATATTACAGATTGTTGATTGGTTATTCAACAGCTCTGATATCAATTCTATAGAAAATTTATGGAATATAATTTAAAAAAAAATGTAAAAAAGAGAATGTTAAAGAATCTGGTTAAATTGGAATATCTTATGATAAAGAAGTGAAACAATATTCTATAGGATGTTATAATTAGTTTGATAAATTTTATGAAAAAATATTGTGAACTTATTATTTTAAGTGGTGTCAATTATTAAATTTTATAAATAATCGAAAACTCCCGATTTTAAGCATATTGAACATGTGATTGTGTGCAACTGCTGCGGACTAAATACTGTATATGCAAAACTTTTGTTACATACTATATATCAACAAACATCAAACTCATATTCCGTTTTTTTTCCATAGCATTTTTGAACTCATCTAAGCTTTTGGCAAAAACGTCTTGATGTAAATCGGTAAAAGTTTATCGATGCGATTCTCATATACTCCTGTAAGAAGATATTGAAGGATGTTGCATCTCATTTCAATTTTGTCATATTTTTCCAAAGTACGATTTGTGTGGGATTAAGTTTTCTACTATTTATGAAAACTCCTGATTTAGTACATAATTCGAAGATTTCTACATTTCTTTGGAAATTTTTAATACTTGCATATTTCCGATCAACTTCGTGATGTCTTATAATAATATCGTTCGAATTCTCTCTTAATATAAATGCTTCACCTGGGAGAAGGAGAAAGTATTGATTCTGAGGTGAATCTTCAATAATCGCCAAGTAAGCATCATTATTGTTGAATCATGATTTTTTCCAAAAAAAATTCTTGAAATATAATCAGAATCTTGATGTAGAAGATCTTCTCAACGCTTCGAGACAATAAATGACATCTTCGATAGATGGACGATTTTTAGGATCTTCGTCTCGTGCATCAAGATAAAGCTCCAAGTGGTCTATCGGAGTTAAACTCACTGGAGTTTCTCTCTTTTGTCTTTTCTCTTAGCTTAGGTTTATCACTAAAAGGAATCCAGTCACTTGATATTTTTCATAATATCCATCCTAGACTGTAAATACCCGATAGTTTATTGTATTTATAATCAAACGTACGATCAAAAGTTGCGGATCTAGGTTTTTACGGATTGCGTCATTCAAAGATATAGATGAACCAAAACCTATAGTGAACAATTTACCGTCATGATTTAAAAAATTCTCGGGGTTCTTTAGTTAAAACAAGCAAATAATTATGGTTCTACTAACAATATTATTAACATACTGACAAGCTCACAATATATAATATCGGCATCAGGAATGTACCTTAGATCATTGATAACATCCATAGACATTTCATTTTAAGAGAACAATCTTTTTCCAAGACACTTTTATCTTTCAAATATTCTCTAAATTTTTGCCAAAATAATATCGCATTACCATAGAGTAATCGCTTCGAGGACCTAATATAACAAAGTGATGGTGTACATTAATCATATACTGTATAGTACATGTAGGAAAAATACCATTGTTAACACCGAGAAAACCAATTACATTTTCATTATTTTCAATTTTTTTCAAAATCACTATCTACTGTATTATTCAAAATTTTAATATACCAAAGTAAAATGAAGTCAATCAGAAATTTGGCGGTTTTATGGATACCTCTCTTTTTATAATGTTCATTGCCACGTTCTTTGGAGTGTTTGATTACAACGTTTCCTTTCTCTTTTTTAAGTTTGTTATTCCATCATTGATAACTTCTAGATCTTGGAATTCACCATAATAAAACTTCTTTAACATGCTTTCATCAATAAATCTTTTAATTAATTCCATGATTATTAAGAAAAGAATTTGAGACCAAGTATATGTTGCATAAAGATACCTATTAGTTACGTGGACTAGGACTGTTAAAAGTTCGAGCTCTTTTAGTCCGGACTATATACAGTAAATAGAGGTTTTAATTAAAACTCGGTCCTTAAATTAGACTCGTTCGTATAATCATATGCTCAGGAATATTAAATTTCTTCAAATCATACGAATGCCTTCTTATATTTGAACTTTGTCCGAAATAAGCTCGGTGTCGATCTTAAAAGTTCATATGAGTCGACCTAAAAACCGCGTTCAAAAAACTTCTATGTGGGGCCATACTGTGTATGCATGCATGTAAAGTCGCACGACCATTCTATATATAAAGGTTGCACATGGAGTAAAATTTTCATTCGCTGAACCAATCTTAATGCACAATCGGTGTTCGATAACATGTAGTATGCATCTATAGTGAATCTCGATCGTTCGATATTCCATATTAAGAACATTATTTAAAAAAAAATTTTTTTTAAACATAAACTTAGTAATGCTGACGATTATAAAAAAACATACTGTATATATATATAGCATATAATAAATAAAGAACAAATTTATTTTACAACAAAATTCAATTTATAGATTGCAAAGTATACAAAAAACAAGAATCTTAATCAAACACATACATAAAAACTTATTTCTATGCTAGAAGCTATTGCATATGATCCAAGATTTAAATAAAGCCCTTAATTTGTTTTTTGAAAAAAATTCATTTAAAAAAAAATTTTTTTTTTGAAATTGAAAATTCTATTTTCTTTATAACAAACCTTGATGAAACAAAACATAATATTAGACAAATAAGAATTTCGCAAATAAAAAATCTAAAAAAACATCAAATTGCAATTTTATAAATTAATTACCAAATCAAAATTCCACTTTAATATTTAAAAAAAATATGCCATAATAAGGTTTTATTTATTGCAATTTTAATATTAAAAATGTAAAAAAATAAACAAATAATAATCATAATTTAAATGATTTTCGTTAATAAAAAAAAAAATTATATATTGTACAATAACAATTATTTATATTAAATATCGATCGTTATACTTTTAATAAAATTATTACATTTTTTTAAAAAAATAATATTTTTGGACGTGTGATAAGAATACAGTATATTTTATTGTTGTTATAAATAGTTTCAGAAAAAGTGATTGATGCTTTATTAATTTTCATGAAGGTATTGGTTCTATTTGAGTAATTGATGATGTGAAATTTTAATGATTAGAAATTGAAATTTAAGTAAATAAATGTGAGATAATAAATTTCGAAAATCATTGTTAAAAAATTGGGTAAAGAATGATAAAGATATTTTTAAAAAAATCGATTACTATTTTTTTTAATTAAAAACTACATTTAAAATTTTATTAACAATAAATTTTGATGATATCAAAAGAAAGTGTACATATGCTAAATCAGAAGTTTGATATATTATAAATTTGAAGAATCAAATAAATTATTTTCAATTTACATAATATAAGTAAAAAGCGTATAATACATATTTTGCAAAAAATTTTACTCGCTCACGGCGTTTTGGTAGACATGAGAATAATTTCGGTTAGTCCCCATCTCATGTCCAATTGACACTTCGAAGATAGTTGCATAGAAACGCACGAAAAAAATTTCCTATTTATTTTGTATATATCTTAATGTTGGTATAATTACTGTACATGTATGCCTATGCCGCTATAAGATTCCATGGTTCTTAGATTTATTTTATCATATATCATATGATCATTTCCTGTCATCGTGTAGATTATCCGTGTCTTCCAAATATTTGATTTTTTTTCTACTTTCTTGAATGTCCTTAGTTTGATTGTATATTATTCTTATATCGTTTGGGTCTGTGATAACCTTTTTCAGCGGTTTACTTAAATCCGATAGCCATTTCTTATCTATATCATCATTCACCGCAATATTTCCTTCTAATATATTGCCGCCCCCTTGCTTGTCATTGCATTCTTTGCACATTTGATTCGCTTTTCTACATCCTTCACATAATTTTATATTATCTTTTTTATATTCACCATTCATGTGCTCATCGTGTTTCTCGAAACCTCCATTAATATATAAGTCGTGTGAATTCATGCTCTTCATGATTTTGGTGTTGTTTCGGTGGCTCAGACGCCGTTCAGAATCAGGGAAAACGAGAACTTCGGGAGGAGAGTAATAACAGCAGGGAAGGAAGAGTGCTGCACGACGAGTGGTGCCGAATACTAAGAACAAGAGTGTGCCACTATGAACGCAAGAGAAAAATACAATCGTGTGAGGGTCAATTGGAGTGTACAAAAAAAACTCATGTGATAACAGAATAGAGCATTTCCATAAAAATGATATGAACGGTAACGGCTATATAGCCAAAAAAAGACGCGTTTACACATTTTACATTTTCTTAAATCATTTCGACTGCAAGAAAATGCAGTTTAGCATACCTAAAAGCTGAAGTGAAGTCACCGACATAAACTGTGCTGTCTGTCCACGGCGGCACGTCCTCAATGACTTTCTTGGGTGTCAAACAATCAGATATAACATACACAAATGCCATAATTAATAGAAAGTTGGTGTAAATAGCCACGCGAACAGAGTGACCTAAGTTAATGGCAGTACGGCGATTAGGCTGCCTATTGAAGGTTTGCCAGCGACTATAGAGAATATAGGTTGAATGACCTGGAAGTCCGTAAAGGAAATAGATCAATAACAATTATTCTGACAGTCGAAAGACAAACGGAAGGTAAATTAGTGGTTAAACTTACTGCTAAAGACTGTATTGATTAATACTATCGTACCAACTATCCCAATATAAAAATAATAAATGTACCACGTCTTTTCTACATTCCAACATTTGCAATACAACCATGTAACCATCACACCCCATTGTTTTTCTTTCCTCGTGAACAACAACACTACTATGCTGTACACTATTGCCCACCCCCAAATTCCTATCGAAAACCACCGCAACGTATCTCTTTCTGCCCTTAACTGTGTTTTGAACACCATAAGCCACTGATAATATGAAAGTACGGTCGGAAACATGAATAATGGATAGAAAAAAAATAAGGCAACTTTGTATTGAATGATACAGAGGGGTGTATTAAAGGCTTTAGATTGAACTTGGTCGCCATAGATCATCAAGGAGGGAAGAGAAAAAATTGAGTACCCGAGCACAGAGATGCATATTTGAATAATAGTCCATTTAGTGACGAACGGTGGTGAGCGGAGGAATATGATTACTAGACTTAGGCTGAGTAGGATGCTTAGGGATTGAATGCTGATGTAGAGGATCTGTAATGGGGAGTAAGTAGGAAACATGTACGTAGATAATTAATGTAAAGATGTTGAAAAATAATTCACGCGTAGCTAATCTTAATTTAAGACAGCGTTAATATGGCTTTTTTTTTTTTGGCACTTTATATTTCTAATTTCGTATTACAATTTACTGGATTATGTAATATAAAGCCGAATTAACACCTCTTTTACATAATCTACCGTGCCGTCGTGAATCAGGAATCAAGAATGTACTATGTATGTGAAACTGTAGATCCAAGCTTGTTTACGTATTGTTGAAAAACTATATGCAAGTCAGTTACCACAAGTGGTTGCACCAGTGCATTTTCACTGATATGTATTTCCCGCGCTTCTAAAATCTAGTTTGTACACCACTGTTTTTACGCTTTACCGATGCCAACCTAAAAATTTAGTGTTTTACAAATACCGTACGTTGCGGTGTATAGTACCCCCCTTGTCATGGATATTTTAATGGTGCATATCTTTCTGCCAATTATTATGTACGTAAAAATATATATATTATTCTTATTCGTGTATATTGATTGGAAGACCGGCAAGTATTCTACAGGGGAAGGTACTATACACCGCGACGCACGGTACAAAATTCAAGAGGAACCCGCGATTCTGTACTACATAGCACGTACATGAGCACGTATGAGAATATCCTTTTGACATTTCAACGATTAGAAATTTTACCTTGTCTACAGTTAACCAATCCCAGAAATTTTCATAACTAATTATGGAAACATCTTTCCTCCATATGACAAAAAAAAATGCAATCCCAAAGAAATCCCCGAGAACATGCATAGACTATATTTAGACAAAGATGGTGTAACAAATGAGTCTGTCTAATCTAACATCCGCAGCAAGATCAAGCAAATTGGTTTATTGTAATTATTATTATTGTTTTGAAGGAGCAAATGGCTACCACGCTTTACTTTATTATTCTAATTTTAGACTTGTGAATTTTATTGTAATTATTATTGTTATAATTATAAAATATTATTTGATAAAAAATTTCTATTTAAGATATATATAATTTTTTTTTGTGATCAACCAAGTGCATAATGTTTATTAAATCTTTATAAAAAAAATATTTTTAAATTTATATTTAACAATAAAACCAACTGCTCTCTTTAATATCTATTTATTTATAAAATTTGAAATTAAAAATTATTATTTGCAATTTATAATTACAATTATCTGCAAAACTTTTATAAATTTTGAAAATTCTTTTTAAATCATTAATTTATTACAAAATAAACTTTGATTTTGAATAAAAAAAATAATTATTGATTTATTTGAAAACTTTTTGTAACAATAACAAATTGATTATAAGAATCAGCTTTTTGTTTAATATATAAAATTATTCTTGTTAATTTTAAAAAATAATATTGCAAATATTAATTAATTTAAAAAAATATATTTAAAGCTTGTCAAAATATAAAAAAAAATTTACAATTAAATTTAAAAATATTTATATTATTAAATTTTATCAAGTATTATATAGGTATATAAATATTTATAAAATAATTATATTTGATATTATATATTATCTTGCTTTGAATTTTTCTTATATCAAATTAAATATATTTAAAAATATTTAAAAACTTTATATTATATTTTAATTTATAAATTGAATCTAAGATTTTTAAAGATTTTTAAATATCTTAATTTAAAAAAAAAATTTTTATATAAAATTTAATCAATTATATAATTATTGCAAAAAATATATATAAATTTAATAAAAGTTATAATTTTTATTATAGATAATATTTATAAGAATAATAAATAACAAGTTTTTATAAAGAATAAAATAAAATATATATACAGTATGGTACAAAGGTTTTTGGACTAATATTTTTTATTATAATTCAATAAATATTTATTTAATTTAAATAAAAGTTCAATAAAATAATTTTGTGATTCTAATAATAATAATAATAGAGTTTTGTTATTAACTAATTAGTAATTTTATTATAAAATATTGATTATAAAATTTTTTAAAAGGACCCTATACTTTATTGCCTTTTTTTATATATAAATTTCGAATTATTTTATTATTAAAATTTTTGAAAATTTTGTGACTATAAAAAATTTATTAAATATTTCTTATATTATATAAATTAATATTATGGAATTAATAGATTTT